ACACCCCCTCCTCCCAATATGGTAGGGGTTTGCTCAAGGCTCCACATAAATTAAAGTGACAAGCTCTTGTCTAGGTGCTCCCTCCGTCTCTGTTTTACAAGAGTTTATTTTTCTTTCCCCTACCATGGAAACACACCGGCATGCTGCTGTGCTCCTATTGGAAGATCTTCATCTGTGGCCAACTAAACACTCTCCTTTAGACACTTTTCAGATTCAAATATTGCTGTTGTTAGGCTGAACCCCCCCTGAGGAGACATTTCAGGTTCCCAGAGATGAATAGAAATGAAGCTCTCAATGTAGGGTGTTATGTGTGATGGGAATATTCTCCACTCCACTCTTAAACATCCCAGTTTTGCAATTTTGTTTGGTTGAGGAACTCTTGGTTTTTATTGTTACTCTTTCATGCTTTTAATTAATCAAATTTAAAAAATCATGCAAAATGGCCCATTTCAGAATCATTCACATTATATTATTGGATACAAGTTATTGGTGTCTTTATGTGTTACTAACTTTATTTCAATATTTGGGCTCATACCATTTTCTTAATTTAAAGTTTGATGATTATTTTTGTAGTTGATATATGTTATGTATAGGGTTGGGTATAATTTGGATCTTAACAATTCCGGTTCCTACATCAGTTCTGCTTACCGATTTCTTATTTCTTTCTATCTTGGATTTTAGTATGAGAGGGTAACAGTAAGTCAAATGCCCATATAGAAACATATTTATGAAAACCTTACATTTATATGAATATTTATGGATCTTTAGGGCAAGGTCCCTGTCCTGGCAACTTTTATGAATCCGGCCATAGTGCCAAGACAAAACAAAGTGAATCGGTTTGCTTAGCGCCACCCCTCCCAGAGCGAGCACACAGTTCGCTGGTACAGATGAGCAGAACCCAAATAAAACAATTTCTTTGGGTATCCGGTGTTGGGCAGTTCGTATCAGTTCTTACTCGGAACAGAGTTTCAATTCTCAATCCTAGTTTTGTTAAGTCATGTATACCATCTCATCTTGGGCGTCTAAAATCCCCATCGCTCATGGCAGTCGGTGAACGTCACGCTTCAGCTCACCTAGCCGTGAAAGGGAAGACAAAATGCAGAAGACGTCAGCTGTGTGGAAACACTCTTACTGAATGATGACACAACAGAGGCAGTGAGGCAAATATGTCATTTTCAAATGTCCTGCCATGTCGCACAACAAGCCTGACAAACCACCTGAACGCTGTCAGTAGTACGCTCATAGATGAAGGGATTTGAAGTTGTTCCCATGGTGCTCCCCACTGCTCAGGATGACATTAATTCAATTTCCTTTTAATGTATGCAATAACTTTGAAATAACAATAAATGGATATATATCCTAAATTATGAATATGTTTGGATTCAGAGCCTATTATAATGAGCTATGATGTAGGTCTAATTTATTCATAATAAAACTAATTGTCACAAGCTGTTGTGTAAAAAAAGTGTAATCTCAAGGTGTCTGGTTAGACAAAATAATTCATATGCAAACAGTTTAACACACACCAAACCACTTGAAAAAATGTGTTCCGTTTTATTCTAGTAAAAAATAAATTGTGCGGAAGCTTCAACTTTCCACTTTTAAGTAAAGCCAAAGCTCCTGGGACCTATAATCAATACATTAATTTCAATTTTGATGGGGCGATTCTATTTTAACCGCGATTAGCGATACAGGGAGAGAAGACGGAGAGGAGAGTGTTAGCGGCAGACAGGGAGAGACAAATAATTAAAGTGGACTGTGAGAACAGAGCTTTTAACCCTGAGTGGACGGACTCATTCATGTTCATCCTGCCCACTGGGAGCACAGAACCAGTGTGTCTCATTTGTTCAGAGACCGTGGTGCTCATTAAAAGTGCCAAAACGCCACTATGAGACAAAACACAAAGTGTTTGACCAAACATTCCCTCTCAAGTCAGAACTGAGGTCACAAAAAATAAGCAGTCTCAGAGCTAAAACTAAATATCGTTCCAGGGCAGGCTAACCGAGGCTAACCGATGAGCACCTGCATGTGTGTATGAGAATGGCCCTGACACCATTTCAGCCCAGATTTAAACTCCTGGCAGGACAAGCTCGAGCTCAATTCTCCAAGTGAGTGAGGGACTGCAATATAAGAGGGAAAGAAAGAGAAACTTTAAAACTGGGTTCAATTGTTATGATGTGTAAAGACTGATATTGTTCTATAATCAGCTGAAACTGTTAAGTCATGATGTGAAACGGTTAACAAAGAAAAAGGGAAACTCAAGCTGCTGCTACACTTTATTTTAGAGAGCTTCAGAGCTTCACTGTTTCTCGTTTTATTATAAAAAATAAAACGAGAAACAGTGAAATCTAGCTGGTTAATTTCAGCTAACTTTATGCAAGCGGTAACATCAGCAGTGTGCAAAAAAGCACACGTCCGATCGTCCGGGACGTGTTATTTATAATATCAGACAAATTACATCTTTCCATTGACGTGTCCGACGGACAAGTGACCTTTTTCTTCCATAAATGTTAGTTTCGGTTCTGCTTGTCGATTCCTAAGGAAATGCATCTCGTCACTTTCTGTACTGTTAGATGGGGCGGGCGGGACGTGTAGCACAGTGGCAGGCTTGGGAAGCAAAACTCTGTTCCGAGTAAGAACAAATAACAATTGTCCGGTCCCGGGAATAATAAGAGTTGTGAGGACAGGAGGCGGAGGCCGAGCCCCGCGGACCGCAGCTCTCTCTCCCTCTGCTCCGTATCAGCTGATCGTTGCATGGTGCAGCTCAGCGTCTCTCTCTCTCTCTCTCTCTTTCTACACACAGCGGCTCCGCTGCCCGTTTAACAGCCTCATGTTCTTTCTCCAACACGTAATGAAGGTTATTAAGCATTTTAGCTCCTTTGTTGTTAATATTGACCACCATTTCCTTTATGATGTAAAGCAGCCTCCCTGTCTGTGTCCTCGCGCTGTCCTCACATCCCCGGACCCCCAGACTCGGAGGAGCACAGGGATGTCAGTATTGTTTATGAAGCAGGGTATAGAAAGTACATTATTGAAATGAAAATACTATTTACTTTTACAAACAGTGAGTAGCTGGGCAGCTGCAGCATGTGTGTTGCAGGACATGTGTTGGACAGACAGAGTGTGTGGTTGGACTCTGTCTCACAGGCAGGTTGCAGTGTGACATCAGAGAAGACTGGGACTCAGCACGATAGATTCAAACACAGAGACGAGACAAGAAGAGAGAAACAGTCGGAGTCATTTCAAATGGCGTGCTCCAAAAAGAGAAAGGTAGACAGCGAAAACAGAGCATTTAATGGCATTCTCTCTTACTGGACCTCTTTGAAATGCAATTGAATGCCCCTGCATTATAGCAACAACAACAACAATAATAATAATAATAGCAATAATAATTGGGAGGGGGGGCGCGGCTGTTCTTATGTTCTCTGAGGGGAGGCTCACCTTCCCACACTTTGAAAACCCCTACTCTACTGTATCTGTAGACATATATAATGTACTATTATACAATATTGATAGTAGGTAGAAGTATGGAATATTGACTCCTGCACATTGCTTTCCATCTCTCCTTGTCTGAAACGAACAGAAATTGGTGTATTATGTAAACTCTACGCTTCAGGTGTAACTGATCACCTTCAGGCTAAGCAGTGCTTTGTGTACCTCTGGTCACAAGAGGGCACTACAACCTGTCCTCACAAAGAGGACATCATCTCCACTTCTGTCACTTTCCCTTCACTGCGCTTGACACCGCTGTGAGACATTCCTGCTGTCACACAACAGAGAGGACGCTGCTGCAGTGCAACACGTTTCTCTTCCTGCTTCTGGGCTCCGAGGACAGTTGTTGGAACAGACAGATGTTGCAGCTGTTTTCACAAGGGCTATATTGCTAGAGGTGTGTTTGTGTTTTGTTCTAGTGTGTGTGTGTGTGTGTAGGACAACAAGACTGTTTTCTGTCCCCCCCCTAAACAAATGCACAGTGTTTCTTCTCCACATGAATGTGCGGTGCAGGTTGCTCGGGGACAGACGGAGTGCATGGATGCATTGTGGTTTGTCACATTAACACTCGCTCTCTTCACGTGCCTTAAGGTCTAACTTCCTAACTGCTGTGTGTTTACCCTGTGCACTGTTTGCTGTTTGTTACCATTAACCAGATCATTTTCTTGCAGTGTAATGACCCATACTGATGACAGTAGACATATGTTACTGCTGACAGTTTTATTTTGGATCTCCACTTTTCAGGCAGCCATTGCTTTTTTCATGTTGTCCTATCTCTGAAAATGAATTTTCAAAGGCTAAAAATCTACTGATGTTTAAAACTTATCATAATAAACAATTGGTAGACGTAACCTTTTTTTTTTTTGCTTTTATGCAGCTGCTTTCATTTCAAAATATTTTTCTAGAACTGTTTTTTAACTCTCCTGAGAGAAATATTTATTTATATTTTGTATGTATATTTTCTTTATAACAGTAATCTGATTATGTCCAACCTGAGTTTAGAAAACCAAGTCTTTGTAAACAGCATTTTATAAAACATCTTCCTAAAGGTTGAGTAGCTGCCTATATTCATGTCACATGATCTCAGTTGTTCTCACACACACCCATCTCACCACGATGCCTCTATAGTTATTGCCTTGCTTGAATTGTTGACCATCATGTCATTATGATTTCATTTTTGGGCCTAAATATATATGAATTGCCTTTATTGTCGTGTCATCTGTCTGAGGAAGACAGGCTTCCTGATCACTGTGCAGTGCATGCAAAATATCAGCTTTTTTCATTTAAAACTGAAAGTCTGCATTTTATTTTGATTAAAAAAAACAGGCTACCTGGAAAGTAAGAAGGTCTACACACTTGGATAAATCCTGCATTTTATCATATGATATAATGGCGTCTCGTAATCATGAGTAGCTGTTGCACTGCTTACTCCTTCACGTTCTACCCCCCACTCTCTAACCCTCCCACCCTGACAATCTGCTGCAGGTCGCGAGAAGAGAAAGGGTCCCATGATCTCTGCCGGTGATGCCGAGTTCCCGCGGGATTACCACACCCTGGCTGCCGGCGGGGGCCGCGGGGTCCGGCGGTTCCCCGACAACACCAACGGGGGTTTCACGTCATCCTCGTTGGACCGCCGGCACAACTCCATAGCCGCCAAGAGCCTGGAGGCCCTGAACAGCATCCACAAGGCAGATATCGAGCGCCAGCGGGACGCCCTCATGGATCTGCAGAAGAACAAGTTCTCCAACAGCCCGGGCAGCCTGTCGCAGGGCTCCGCCCCCGCAGGACGACAGGTATTTCACAACAAACACACCTTATTAGCCGCCAGTAAGAAGCAGAAAAACAAAGAATGCTTTCATCCTGCTAACAGGGTTATCATTTGAATTGCACCAATGGTCGTCAACTCAGTTAAAAAAAAAATCCTTTTAAAGGTCACCTATTATGCAAAATGCACTTTTTGATGTCTTTTATATATAAATGTGTCCCCGGTGTGTAAGGAGACTCACAAAGTGTCAGAAAATAAAACCCTCTCTCTTTTCCTCCTTACCCACATCTCTAAAAACGGGGGTACAACGGAGCTGATCCAGATTTGCTGCGGTCATGACATAAGATCGGAAATGCATGACGTGTTTTGGACGTAAAATGATCTTCGTTTACATTAGCAAGCATCGCTAACACTCAGAGCTAACGCTGGAGAGAATATGTGTAAAAAAGCCAGATATAAAAGGTACTGTCTTTGTGGTAAACACGCGAGAGAGAAAGCGTTTGGGCTCCAAACTGTTTCAGAAATAATGATTGATGTGGTTTGGAACATAATATGGCGTTTAATCACGGCAGCGATTAGCTGAGTTTCTGCCGGTAGAGTCGACACCCTTCTCTTCACAGAGCTCACTGCTTGCATGTGGACGCTCCAAAGGGGGCGTGGCCAACAGCAGCTCGGTTACATTTAAAGCTACTGACCCAGAATCAGCACTTTTGTAATAGAGCTGAAATAGAGGGGTATGAGGCATGCTACAATGTGTGATCTGTTTGGTATTTTGAGCAAAACACTTCAGAGACATGTTTTGTATAGATATGGCCCTATAATATATTGTTCAAATATAGTATAATATGGGACCTTTAAAAGTTACATTGCCAACTGGTCAAATATAGTAATGTAGCAGGCAATTTGGCTTTGAGATTAGATTTGGCATGCCATAAACACGCCAATTATAAGGTTGTAGTGTGGAAGTGGAAACAAGTGGAAACTCTGCTCTTGGCATTTGCTCCATGAGTCCTTCACCACTATTATAGAAGAACAAAGTAACAGGATTATCAGGAAAACAAGATTAAGTGCTAGGGTGGAGATCATATTTGTGAAGGTTTTGCAATTATATAATGAATAAATACCAAGATATAGTTTGATTTTGACAAACCTGAATAACATTTGGAAGCTACCTAATGTTATATTACTATTACAACATATTGTATCAACACCAACAACAATTATTGTCTCCTAAACTACTACACCTTTTTAAAAGAAGACATTTTGTAAATTGCTGCCTGTAATTTACTGCAGATCCACATTTCTATATAATAACACATGTATAATAATAACAACGTAGCCTTCAGGGAGAGGGGCATCATATCTCTGAGTGCTTCCTTTTTCCCCCCATGTGAACATTTTCTTCCTTGGAGATAATAACAGCACATTGGTGGGCATTTTGTGGCGAGAATCCTCTGGGGCTTAAGATGTTCGCAGTGGAGACTTTTTTATGATCACCTTGCAGGGGCAGTAACGGACCATTTTTTAGTGGTTATTATCGGAAAAAGTCAACGATAGAATATTGAGACAAGGATTTAAGTGAGAGAACGTGAAATATTGAACTCAGCGCTCCATCAAATCCCTCTCCTGTCTCTCTCTCCTCTTCATAGTCTCTGTTTCATTCCTCCATCAATCACCACATGCTCTGACGTTATACCTGACACAGATGGGCTGAACACAAGCTGCAGCTTTTCTCCCTGCACAGCTTCAAGGAGCAGCTCAGCATTCTGTGTGCTCTCTGTCTGAGACTCTGTTAGGAGGATTGATGTCAATATCATGTCTTCTCTGTGTAAAGTACAGAGCTAGAGGCTGGACAAAGCAGCCATGAACAATATTGTTTTTGTTGTTTCTTTCTAAAGAGCCCATTGAGTGAAAAGAATCATGTCTAAAGTTGGGTATTTACTTTATCTCTGTACTACCATTATATAATACCGTCACTTCAAGGTTAACTTTAAGGATATATAGTAAATGCTAATGGAACATTCTTTAAATAAACCTTGGCATTCTGGTTCTAGTTTTAAAAAATATTTAAATGTGTTTAAGCAGAGACAAACGACCCAACTCTTGTTAGGCTTCAAAATTCAGTTTAAACGCCTCCATTGGACTCCTTTGTTTACATCCGCAACCTAACTATGTTACACTCGTGCTTTTATTGGCTAGCGCTCCAACACAATTTACGTGATAGTCTAGAGGACGGGACATCTTTAAGTAGTTGACCAATCACAACGGAGCTGCCCAGCTAACCAACCAGAGCAGATTGGGCTCTTGTTTCAGACAGAGGGGGAAAAGATGTATAAGAACAATAAAACACTTTTTTAACATTCAAACATGTCACAGTAGAGACACAAAATACTAATATGAACCTGAAAATTCATACAATAATACTAAAGATATTCTAGGCTTATTTTGAAAACATCAAATGAGATTCAAACTTATTATTGCGTCAATTAAGAGCATTAGAGTTGGTTAGTTTGATCTTCTTCTCACTTATGACAGAGCCAGGCTAGCTGTTTCCCTAGCCCCCAGCTTTTATGCTAAACTAAGCTAATCCTGCTCTGTATTTACCACACCATTTGATATCAATATTCTTATCTAACTCTCCTAGAGGAAGCAAATCAATTCCCACAAACGTTGAGCTACTCCTTTAAGTGTGCTCTCATTCTCCAAGCCTCCGTCAGCTTCTGTCCATCACGTCTCCGTCTACTCGCATCATCTCACATCTCCTCCTTCCTCTCCACCCACTCTTTGCTCTTTCATGTGCTGTGCCCAAAGCCCCACCATCTATCTCCTGAGGAAAAAGGTGGTCTGACAGGGGGAGAGAGAGAGAGAGAGATGGAGAAACAGGTGGAGTCTGCTGTCGTCATGGCAACCCACCGGTTTCCCATATAAGGAAACTGAGTGATATCATATGGCTGGCAATGCCGAGGCTCTGGAAGGAGGCACAGGCTGTACTGAGTGAGAGGCGACAGCGGCAGGGGAGAGACAGAGTGGAGGGAAAGAGGGAGGCTGTTCTATCGCTTGAGTCAGGGGCGAGAGAGGGTGACGGCTAGAGAGATAGAGAGGTGGGGAGAAAGAGGGGAAGGCACAGGAAGAGGAGGAGGAGGAGCAGGAAGAGATGCTAACTGCCTCTGAGGCGATACTACGGGTACCAGTGAGGGGGGACTCCGGCAGATCCTCAGGGCGCGGGAAAGACACAGAGCCGCAGTGAGAAGAAAAAAAAACAAAAAAGATGGAGCGAGGGGAGGAGGAAGAGGGAGGCGTGTGGAGCGGGAGGATGCGCCAGGCGGACGACATGCTCATTAAGTAGCCACGGTAACTCAATCAAACCCCGTCTTTGCATGCTCAACTGAGACGTTTCAGTGGCGCTGCCATGGCTGTGTGACGCTTGCACTGCTACATAAATGATGACGGAGTGTGTGTGTGTGTGTGTGTGTGTGTGTGTGTGTGTGTGTGTGTGTGTGTGTGTGTGTGTGTGTGTGTGTGTGTGTGTGTGTGTGTGTGTGTGTGTGTGTGTGTGTGTGTGTGTGTGTGTGTGTGTGTGTGTGTGTGTGTGTGTGTGTGTGTGTCTTCTTAATGTGTGTAGTGGCTTGTGTTAACTTATCCTCGGCTCCTTTTCTATATGATGTGAGTGCATGACAAAATGTGTGTGTGTTCCCATAGCTGGCAGGTGATGACCAGGTGTGTCTGTGCTGCTGCAGTGACGTATCTGCATGTATGTGAAGGCTGTGTGCATAATCACAAAAAAATGTGTGTTGCACTTGTGTGTGTGAGTGCACATGTGTTGGTGTGTGTGTTTGGGGCTTGAGAAGGGAAGAAAAGAGGGTGGGTACAAAGATGGCTACTTGGCATGCAGGTCAGGCATGCATGTGTCTCTGCTCATCTCTGTCTCTCTGCTTCCTCGCGCCTCATCGTCTCTCTGAGCGCCGGCCGTCACTGAGCATATGTGCGCTTTGGGATTTCAGCTCAAGTGATTGAGAAATATAGCAGGCAGTAATCACTGAGTCACTGTGCATAGGGGGCCTGTTTGCGTTAGATGAGACAGGGTTTATGTTCCCAAAAGTGTCCGCTTGTTGGTGCATTAAATTATTTGTGGAGTGACTCGGCGGTAGATTTGGCCATTTCCAATTTAAGGTGAATGGACCAGTAGAAATAGTGATTAGTTCCTGTGAATGGCAAGATGTATATTAGGGGTTATAACCCAACGGGTGCTCGGCCATCAGCTGTTGGTTTGATTCTGTGAGGAGGCTGATGATACCAATGCACATTTGTCATTATGAAGCCACCACATGGAGGTTCTTCAAAGTTTAAAACATCAGCTGGAGGTGACAGGGGTTGTTAGCACTATGTCATTAGAAATTATCCTTGACAGCAATATTATTCTTTTATATAATTTATATTACATTAATGCATAATGTGAAGTTGGGAAGTGATTTATTGATTGCAGATTTATTATTAGAGCTTTCTGTAAGCAGTTGCTTAAACGCCAACTACTATCTAGTCCAGTCTAGTCAACTACTTAATTGTATTATTTTTTTATTCTAATAACATATTTTAATGAACAAGTCCCAAATCGCAATGTGTATACATAGCTCTAGCTGCCAAGTAAATATTTGGGTAGTCTTGTTCTGTATATAACAAATATTTGCAAAAAATCACAAACACATTTACAATTGCATTGATTGCACGGACAGGGGTGTCCCCATTAGACTGACCCCTTCAGAAAATACCAGTAATAAAAGCATAATGAAGTCGACTAATGGCGCTGGATTCCAACAAATGCTACAGATGAATTAATGGGATTAATAGATGAAATAACTAATTGATGATCTTTATTAGTTTAAAATGCAAACACACACACTAAAACAGACCATGTAGTCAAGGTCAGGTCTATTGATTTCCATTCAAGAGTAGTGCATTCATGTTTCTAGAAAATCATGAATTCAAAAACAAATACAATTCTTTGGGTGGTTGTAATAACCAGAAAAGCAA